TCCTCCACCACATTCCCAGTATCATTTCTTAGATCACTCTTCACTACATCAAGTCCCCCTGCTTTAAATACTGACACGTATGCTCATCAGTCTGCTTTTTCCTATTCTGACCCTCAAAACCATATGTTCTCTATATATTACATGATTTGATACACTTTTCTGCAATGCTTGAAAGGCTGAGAGCACATCACTGTTATTCCGATTTTATTTGCATTGCTCTGCACGCAGTTGCAGTTTCTCCATGCAAGTCTTGTTCGTGGCTGTGCACGCTGCAGCAGTAAGCGGCAGCCAGCACCGGCAGATCTCCTTTGCTTTTGATGAAACTGCATTTTCAGTGGATAACTGTTCCAATTTTTTTTTTTCCCAGTGAGCCTTAATTAGGAGAACAAAGTTGTTGAAAGCCTTGTCTTGCCCTTCCCCTTCCTGCACACAAAGTCTTCTTTCAAGGACTCTTTTTTTTTGTCAAACAGCTCAAGAAAGCTGACAGATTTGACAGTCATTAAATATAAAAACTTTATTTCACAATATCTCTAAATTACGTGTTTCAAATGAAAAATGACACTTGCTTAGGGCATAAAATGTGATTCTTGTCTTTTTCCCTACTTCTGCCTTTTTCCCGTGAAGACTCAAAGTATTAATCTTTTTATTATGGTAATGCAAAAACCTCTTTCTTGCGTCTCAAATTAAAAGAGGGAAAGCTTGCTATGTGCCTGGGAAAACGATGCAGCTATTGATCCAGGAGATGCTTTATTAGATTATTTAGAGACAGCCAAATGTAATTTAATACCTATTTATTTTCTATTCCTATGCCAGTCCGAGATAAAATCTTTTCTGCATAAAATTAGTGCTTTTTCCTTTCACCCTCAAAGAAGGATTACATTGTGCTCCTTTCTTGCATTAGTCTGGGGACCTTTTTCAACAAAACATTGATCTTGAGGGTTCTTGAGAGTCTTTTCTTTTAATATTTTGAAACCAAAGCCTCAGCTGGGACGAGTGGGTTCTAGGCTTGCCTTTCTTATTATGCGTTAATGTGAGAAGTAGTGATATCGGGTAAAAAGGAGATTCCAGATGAGGAAAAGAGAGACCAGAAAAGGAGACAAAAAGGAAAAATGAGCAGGTTTCACACAGGCAGAGAGAAGGAACAACAACACTGTTCTTTTTACTAAGTTATCTGCAACCTACAGAAGAGACTGTGTAATGGTACACCAAAATGGTGAAAGTACCGAGTATTTAGGTCAGTCAGAACTAGGGTGTGCTTTTATAAGGCTGAGCTGTTACTCTACATGCAGCTATTGCTGGGACACACCATCTTGCTGTGCCCATCTCCCATGAGCTGCCTCGCAGGCCAGAACCTGCTGGCTTTTCTGTGGGGTTACTTATTGCCAGGTAATTCTGCTGGACCCAGGGGCAGGGGGGCACCAGTGCAGGAGAAAACAGCAGGAGCCCAAAGCTGTGGACAGAGGGAGGAGAGAGGGACTGCTTGGTAGTCTTATGTCTAGCATTAAAAAGCAGCTCCAACTTCATTAAAGATCACCAAAAATTGTGTAGGGACCTCACAAAAGCAGAAAAATGAGGAGTTGAAGGCTGCCAAATTTAGACTTACATACTGAAATACCTTGAACAATTCATTGATGTTACCATCTAGCAGGCAGCCTGTCTCTGTGAATGGCTTGGCTTTCAGCAGCAGTCACAGCACTGGGAACATCTGGGGTTTTCTCTCTCATGGTTCTGAAATGGCCCAAATTAGGCTGCCAGGGGAGCTGCTGATAAAGCACTGCAGTCAAAACTGCTCTCCTCTAATGAAAGCTCTCTCAAAGCCCTGGGCTCCAGATACAGCGTTGTGGGTGATTTCCCTCCTTTCTTTCTGTGTTTGGTCCCTGAAAACAGAGGGACACCTTTCCCTTGTGTTTTTGGATTTAACTGCCACAAATGCATAGGGGATCAAACCCATGCTGGCTCTGAACTGACTAAAGATCAAGCTTCATTAGACAGAGCAGAGGTGCTGGACCTGACCAGGGGCTTCAATTTCCCCTCTGCCTCCCCTTCCAGAGGAGGGCTGAGCTCTTTAGATGGTCTTTAACTCCTTGCTTAGACAGGCAGCAATGAGGAGATGCTGACCTTCAGACTGACCACACGAGCTGAATGAGGAGAGAGCTCTGTCAACAGCCGTGCCTTAAAAACGGAGCTCTGGCTTCGAGCAGCACAAATGCCCGTCCTAATTGTACCTCGGACTGCATGTCAAGCCGCCCAGATGACACTCATATTCTGGTGTTAATAAGCCATTTGTCCATCTGGTGCTTGTACAGATGACATGCCTTCTCCATGGAATTTTAAAAGCAAAAAGTATTAACTCTATAAATAAATAGATAACGTCTGAAAAGAAATTCCACAAAAATCAACTCCAAATCATTGGTGATGAGTCTGGATGTGCCTGGAGCCAAACTGCACAGTGTAAATCCCAATATGTCTGTGTGAATCCCAGCAAAGTGTTTATTTGCAAGTGGTTTTAACTGGGAGAAATCAACAGCACTAAACCATTCACTTGACACTACATGAACAAAACGAGACACAAACGCTGGCCACTTCTTACCTCCATGCAGCTCCAGGACTTTGAGCATCCTGGCAGTCAGATGGGATGAGAGCTCGAATGAAGGGAATCAGACAGCAGTGGATGTGGCCAAAGCAGCTTCTGGCCCTGTCTGTGGTACAAGAGCAATCTATGGCTCATATACATGTGGCCACATCTGTGATGGGTTATGGAGGCAGATCGACAGCGGGGAGAATTCACAGACAGATTTGTACCAGCAGCTGGGGTAAGTTTTTACTTTTACTAATCAAACTGGCTGCAGAAAGTCTAGAAAATCACATTTCAGAGGCAAGAAGTCACCTGTCCAACTCCACCATACCTCTGTCAGAACAGGACTGTCCCCTGCACAGTGTTATTCTGGCACAGCCTGGCTTAGGCACGAAGATAGCAGGTCACCCTTTCCCCAAGCATCACAGTGTAGGATGAGAGAAACTCAATTTAAAGTATAATATCTACACTGCAAACAAAGCCAGCATTCCTGGAGAGCAGTAATCAGAAATACTCTCTTCTGTGCAAACTTAAGAGAGTCTGGTAATTCTAAGCAGTTAAGTTTCAGGAAATATTACAGAAAAATTATATTCTTGTAACACTACGTTCTAAAGGGAGCATCTTCACGCCATCTTTTGCCAAGAGAAAATAATCTGGGAAGGGTTCTTTTCTCCTGTCTCTTATTACTTTAGAGAGTAAGGATAGAAAGTCCTCATTAACAAAGGAAAACTTAAGAACCAACACAAGAAAGTGGGGCGAGCACTCTGTTTTTTCTGGACGGAGCAGCAGTCTTTTACTGATGAACAAACGGGATGAAATTGCTAATTACAGCCTGGAGCTAGGAGCACTTCTATTAGGAGTATCATGCTGGAGCCCGAGCACCTGTTCTCAACAGGAAGAAATGTTTCATCTCCAAAGGACAGACGAGAATTAGCATGGCTGCAACCTTTTATGAGGCCATAGCACCTCTCCAGTCATTAGAGCAGACTGATTAAAACTGCTTTGATTCTGTTCTCTTTGTACTGACCTGGCTTTTTCCCCAGCCTGGCACATTTGACTTTTGCAGGCTTTTGTTTTCATTTTACAACCCATTTAATAGCTTGAATTCCTAAAGAGATCCTTTCAGACCTACAGTACGCTACCATAAAACATTACAACGGGAGACACCACAGTCTACTCTTTCATTGCCCAGTGTGACTGCGGGCAGACACTTGTTCCTTTATGACTTTCATCCATCTGCTTCCCCCCCTCCCAATCACAATCAAACTCCAGAGGTCTGAGAGGTTTTCCAGTGCTACGCTGAGGGTCTGTGGAAATACAGGATGTTCTGAGGAACAGCATCAGTAAGGTTTCTGGCTTAGATACCCAACTGTACGACTCTTAAGTCTGATGAGGTACGTGCTGATCAAGGTTTCTTTTCTGCAAAAAGCCTTAAACTGAACTCAACAGAAAAGGAAAATTACATTTAATATTCTGCTGGTGAGAGAGGAAGAAATCACTGAAATATTAAACCTCTTGATGTATTAGTGCATACTTTTGATTAAAGAGCTAGAAAGCAATGCACAGACGACCCCGAGACACTTATTTCCCGCTGTTCCTGGGGACAGCAGGATGCTGCAGGATACAGCATGACCTTGGTATAAACAAGCAGTGACCAGTACTCGACTAAAGGAAGGATAATTACTGCACAACACCTGGCTATCAAACTATTCTAGTGGACGGGCAACATCTCATTTCCCCTAATGGTCACTAGAACATTTGTTCCTGAAGGTTTTCAGAATGATCTGGCAGATAAAGCACCAGCCCGGAGCCAAGAGGAAGAGCTCTGTAATGAGTTTTTACCTTACCTGCTGCGACCTTCGGACATTTGCCGTACCTCTTATTCCTTCTTTTACCTTGATACTCATTTTTCAGAGCCCAGACTCCCATGCAACACAGTGAGACCTTTCAGCATGCTCAGAGCAAGTTAGCAGGAACAAGACTGACTAGAGATTTGGGAGTTAAATAAGTGTTTTTACTTTCAAGTGTCATAGTGCCAGACTTGTAACTCAAGCTAAGAGCAGAATATACAGAGAATATTCAATACAGAGAAACTCAAGCACCTGAAAATTATCAATCAAGCACTGTACAGCCAGAGAATTCTTCTTACAAGGTTTAACCCCTCTACAAAAGTTAACAACACACTGAAAAATGCATTTTGGTCATCAAGAACACAGTTACAGAGGTCTAACAATTACTGACACAAGCTCTCCATTAACCTGACCAGCATCTCTCTCCCCGTTCTACTTCTCAGAGGAAAGCCTCTCACTGAATACTATCCAGATAAAAAGGGAGCATTAATGTGCCAACTTGAATATATATTTAATAACTTAGCACAGATTTGAGACATGGCCATTTAATGTTTGAATAAGCTCTGAATCCGTGTCAAGAGAGAAACTAACAGAACTAACAGAACTCCACCAAGATACTGATGACCTACAACTCAATGAAATAATTTAACACATTCACAAGAAGAACAGGTAAGGTATGGCTAAGAGCTGTACGTTCCGCTTGAAGCCCGGACATTACTACCAGCATTTCCAGTATGCCCATTCCTTCTTCCACTACTACCCGTTGATGCGGTAATTCACATGGATTTCGGGTTTGATGTCACACACCAGTGACAACAGCTGGGACAGGACCACGTCACGGTTCTTCTGGAAGTTCTGCTGGATGACGCTCATCTTTTCCTGGGTCTCCTTCTCAACTTCAGTGGTGCAGCTGCCATGAGATCCAAGTGCCTACAGATAGCAAAGGAAAGAGAAAGCTTACATGCGAGTAGTTTGAAAACAAAAAACTATACCTAGCTCTGGATTTTGTTACTCTGGACCGCCTCACTGCATCTCAATCATTAGTTCTTCCTTCAGCAAAGATTAAACTACTTTAAAAATAAATAAATAAAAATTATCATGAGATTCTCCACTCAGATTTCCCACTAAACTTGCCCAAGTTTGTATTTTATCCACAGTCCATGTCTTTTATCCTCTCTTATTCATTATCTACCCATTTAGAGCATGGGCTTCTAAAAAACGCCTGAAATAAAGATCTTGCTGTACTGAATTGGGAACCCCTGGGCAATACTGTACTAGATAGGGTAGGAAAAATAACACCCATGATTTAGATTAGTTTTCACATCATCCCATTGCTTTTATCCTTGGAGAATCTTTATAAAAGTCTCTGCCTTCCCAGCAGGACTGTGGACCACATGATAGGCACAGCATGGAGTCTCTCACAGCTTACAATGCCCTTCTTGCCCCATAAGCAAGGGCAGAGAGATGAAATTCACATTATAAGTAGGGGGGGGTTACATGCACAGAAAAAAAAATATGCTGAAAGAGACTAGCACTCTGGGGCTCCAATTCAAATTCTCTCTCTTTGGAGAAGGATAAATAAAACAGAAGCAGCTGACAAGCAGTGAAGTCCACTCTACTAGCCTGGAATTGCCTGGTATCATATGCTTAGCAAACTAAGCTAAAAAGTGATTGTAAAAAATTATTCTTGACCTACTGACATGAAGGCTGTTATGCAGGAGAACAGAAGAAATAGCAATGTGCTAGCTAGAAGATGGACAGAGGGGAGGGTTGCTGGGTCATTTTCTGAAGGTTTCAAAACTGACAGGGGCACACAGGCAGAAGGAACAACCTCGGCTGGCAAAGGGCCTCGGTTCTGTGCCTTTAGGGAATAACTCCTCTTGCTCAGAGGGAAAGGGAAACACCCCTTGGGGCACTGCAGACAAGACTTCCAAGCAGAATACAAGCCTTACAACTGCTTCAGCGAGAGAGCAGCATCTACAAGGCGAGCAGTCTCTACCACGAGAGCATCACAGAAACCAGTTTGTCACGGGAGGAATGAGCCTGGTCTTTTTTGACACTGCTACACACAGCAGGTTTGGGGAGGCTGAAACCCATCAGCCAATACATGAGCTCATTAAGCTAATTCACTGCCAGTCAATAGTCCTGGCTGTTGAGATGCAGTACATCACGTTCCGATTCACGTCCACTGGTTTTTCCATGACACGTGGCTGTACCTCAGAGGAAGGCAGTTTGGGGAGCACTCCTCCAGCAACACACTCCACCCTGAGGGCCGCTCTCAGGGTAAGCAAACCCAAATGCAAGGCTAAGGGGCTGGGGAGGTAACAGTGAATGATCTAGAAAACAAACCGCTGCTTCCTTGGCTTTGAACTCCTTCTCCCTCTGCAGGCGGTACTGCTCGATCTCTGCCTGTGCTTCTTCTTTCGCCTGCTTCAGCCTTCGATTCTTTCCTGTTTCCAAAGAACATGCCATATGAAATACAGAACAGGAAGTACTGAGAGCATATTTTCCTACACTTCTCCAGCTACCTGATGCAAACAGCATTTGCAGCAGCTCCTTCTGCAGGAGGCATCAGCAGGGCACCGCACACCCTCACAGCCCATCCAGCTTTGCAGGGCTACCCAGCCAGCCTCAGGGACACGAGACTGTCCACGTGCTACTGAACCATCACCAAGCTCATCACGCAATCAGCTCCCACCAGCAAGAAATGGAGAACTTCTCCAAGCCAGCGGATGCATTGGACAACCCACAGGTCTGGCCTTGCTCACATGAGTGTGCAACAGCTCTGAGCAATCCCAAACAGCACAGCAGAAAGAACATTAAGTCTTAGTTTTGTCTCAGGCCAGTTGTGCAACCAACAGAAAACTGGCTACTGCATCAACTTCCCCTCTTGGACTTTCCACCACACCCTCTACCCCAGGGCTATGATCATTAGAGCAAGCTAAATAATCTACTGCTCACAGAACTGTCAAGGAGTAGAACTGCAATGCAGGGCAGCTTCATTACAAACAAAATGCTTAATGCAGGAAATCTTTGTAAAGGTGAGGATCTTTGTAACTAGGATTTCTCTCACGTAACAGGAAAAGCTGACTTGGATCCCCAAAGAGTAGCTCCCAACTCTATAAAATATCTGATCACCGACATGGAAGTGTGCTGTTTTCATCAAAAAGAAAAAAATAAAGGTAGGAAGGATGCAGATAAGCACAAGCATCCCGCAGTTGAAGACCCTGTTGCCATGAGGGGCAGGGTTTGATGCTGTTTTCCCCTAGGGAGCGGTCCCATGGGCTGGGGGTCACCCAGCTCCTCCGAGACCCCTGCAGGCCGCTCCAGCTGCCGGGCGAAGGCTCCCACCGCCTCCTCAGCGCACCCCACGTCGGCTTTGACCCCTCCGCACAGGACACAGGCTTCAGAGGGAGCAGATAACCCCGCACGCCCAAGGAGCCCCACTACACCCTCACCGCCCCGCGAAGCCCCTCAGCCCCGCTCTCCCCGGCT